TATATATATATATATATATATATATATACATACACACACACACATATGTCTACACACACAGATTGATCGAAGCAAAACTTAACAGATCACTTTCCTTGAGAGGCACTTTTTTCTTTAAATTAGGAGTATATATAAACTGATCAGCATAACATTTAAGAGATCACTTACTTGAGAAGCACTTGTTGCTCTCAACTATGTGTATATAAAAATTGATCAGCGCAACATCTAAGAGATCACTTACTTGAGCGGCACTTGTTGCTTTCAACTACGAGTGCATACAAATTGATCAGCATAACATTTAAGAAATCACTTACTTGAGAGGGACTTGTTGCTTTCAACTACGAGTGCATACAAATTGATCAGCGCAACATTTAAGAGATCACATACTTGAGAAGCACTTGTTTCTTTCAACTACGTGTATATAAAAATTGATCAGCGCAACATTTAAGAGATCACTTATTTGAGAAGCTCATTTCTTTTTTTCAACCAATAATAGAAACAACTTGATCAGCGCAACATCTGAGAGATCACTTACTTGTGAAGCACTTGTTTCTTTCAACCTCGTGTATATAAAAACTGATCAGCATAACATTTAAGAAATCACTTACTTGAGAGGCACTTGTTTCTTTCAGCCTGTTAATGGTTGAATGTAACTTCTTAACGTCTTTTACTAGTTGCGAAATCTATAAAAAAAAGTGCTCGTTTTTCAATTTCATAAATGTTGGTATTTCTTACCAATCTGAGTAAACAATTAATGTAACAACAGGATGTTTTAAAAAACTAAACCCGATTCTTATTTTATTAAGAAAACCAGGTAACAAAAGCAGAAAAGTAATTTTATTTTGCATTTTATCACACCATTGGATCCATAATCAATGCGCTTTTCAAAAATTCAGTAATTAATCTTTCGAAAATTGTTTCATTGTTCAATCATATTTTATTTCCATATTCAGATAAATTCAAATCCAGCAACAGATTAAAATACTATAAAGGAGTGATCAAAATGTTGAACAAACTGGGTAACTGGTGCCCACAATTCTTCCTTGTCAAACCGAATTTGTTCCTATTTATTTTATTCATATTTCATTGCGTGATTCTTTAAATAGCCGCGAGATGGCGGGATCGAACTCACCTCTTTGTCTTTAGCTGCAAGTTTAATTTCTAGGGGCGAATGAGAAAAGGCATCATCATTCTTTTCCATGTCTGTTCTCATGCATATGGTATCAGCCTGGTGTAATGATTGTTTGGCTGCCTCAAGCTGTTTCTTAAGAGTCGTAGCCTCTCTTTCTGCTAGTGCTGCTCTCTGGTGAATAAACGAAGCGAGTGCTGGGTTACTATTTACTACTAAAGTAATGAATGAGCGTGTTACGCTAATAATTAACATAACATTGCTTTAAAGAAAACACAGAAATAATAATTAGGGTACACCTAAGAAGACTGATCTATCTATTTATGAAGAGACACCCTGGTGCCGAGAACAATTTGTATTTTGGGTATTAAGTGATAGTTGGTGTGTTTGACATAAAAAATCAATTAGAAAATGAATTAGTCTACAGTACAAACAGTAAAGCCTAACCATAAAACAATTATCTATAGTGATACAAATATTCAGCATATTTCTCTGAAGAGCTCAGTTTATTTCCCTTGAAAGTTCTTGAGAAGCCTTTACTTTTAGGACACATGTACTGTAGGTTTTTATGAGAAATGTGCTTTGCTTTATACACAACTGAGTACCATATTCGTTTGAAAGAGTTATTTTTAGCTTACATACAATTGTCAAGAACTCCGTAGACGTATGGCAAACGTTTTGTTTAATTTCTAAACGGCGATCAACAATATAAGAAATTATTTTAAGTTCCTATACAACGAACTAGAAAAGTCACTGTGCTTAGTTCTGTAAAACGATCTTACAAGCCTTACTACAAACAAGTACCTTGAGCCTTTAGAGAACGATCTACTGAATTTTAACTATAAAAGTATAAACTTTATGTTATGTTTACATACAACGATTTCAGAAACCTTACTAATACAAAACAAGTACCTTGAGTCTTTAGACAACGATCTACTAGATTCTAACTATAAACTTTGTGTTATGTTTACATACAACGATTTCAGAAACCTTACTAATACAAAACAAGTACCTTGAGTCTTTAGACAACGATCTACTAGATTCTAACTATAAACTTTGTGTTATGTTTACATACAACGATTTCAGAAACCTTATTAACACAAAACAAGTACCTTGAGTCTTTAGACAACGATCTACTAGATTCTGACTATAAACTTTGTGTTATGTTTATATACAACGATTTCAGAAACCTTACTAATACAAAACAAGTACCTTGAGTCTTTAGACAACGATCCACTAGATTCAAGTATAAACTTTGTGTTATGTTTACATACAACAATTTCAGAAACCTTACTAATACAAAACAAGTACCTTGAGCCTTTAGAAAAGATCCACTAGATTCTGAATATAAACTTTGTGTTATGTTTATAGACAACGATTTCAGAAACCTTACTAATACAAAACAAGTACCTTGAGCCTTTAGAAAAGATCCACTAGATTCTGAATATAAACTTTGTGTTATGTTTATATACAACGATTTCAGAAATCTTACTAATACAAAACAAGTACCTTGAGCCTTTAGAAAAGAACCACTAGATTCTGAATATAAACTTTGTGTTATGTTTATATACAACGATTTCAGAAATCTT